AAAGAGAGCCTTGCATGATCCTTGGTGTCGTTTTATTTCTGGTTTATGACGGGTAAGTCTAGCTAAGTACATTCGAGTACTCAGGGTTTATCCCACCATGTTGCAGGTGAAGTTCTTGGCCTGCTAAAGATGGTGGCTAACCGCCGGTGGGCTCGGTGATTCTATATTTACTTCTCATCTATATGCTTTTGTCTGAGGATGTCCCTTATGCTAGCAATGTATTTGGAACTTATATTAATGTAATCATTTGGAAGCTATGTTGTTTTCAATAATTGGTTTTGAAACCCAAACTTGTACTATTATTTGTGAACCTATTTGTAATATTATTTCTGCTGCAACTCTGTGTATGTGATGTGTATTTGCTTAATCACGCGATCTTGGTTGTGATGTTGATTTACCGAGGTCTTTCGAGACACTCGGCGGACTACCGGGTTTATATAAGTGAAAGTATGCGCGTGTCAACGTGTTAGCGGGGACAGTCGTACTTGATCTTATATAAATTGGGTGGTTCTGTCACAAAAGATGCAGAAGAACTCGTCAGAACATGCAAGAATTGCCAAATGTTTGCTAGGCAATCACATGTGCCGGCTCACAACTTAATATGCATACCGCCGGCCTAGCCATTCTCATGCTGGGGGCTGGATCAAGTCAGACCACTCAAAAAAGCAAAAGGAGGCTTCGAATACATATTTGTGGCAATCGACAAATTTACAAAGTGGATTGAATACAAACCTCTGGTCAAGTACAGTGCAGAAAAAGCAGTAGAATTCATACAAGACATCATGCACAGGTTTGGCATGCCCAACAGAATAATCACAGATCTTGGTTCACCATTTACAGCAAGAGAATTCTAATACTGGGCAAAAGATTGTGGGATAGAAATTGACTTTGCATCATTAGCACACCCACAGGCCAATGGACAAGTTGAAAGAGCAAATGGACTCATATTACAAGGCTTAAAACCAAGATTATATGAAGATTTGAAAGATTATGGTGGAAAATGGATCGAAGAATTACCAAAAGTAGTATAGGGTCTAAGAACCCAGATCAGCAGAGCCACCAGATACTCACCGTTCTTTCTGGTCTACGGATCAGAGGCAGTACTAACAGCCGACTTGATATGGCTATCTCCAAGAATAGAACAATGTGAAGAAAGCGAAGCAGAAGAAACAAGGCGGTTAGAAATTGATTCAATAGAAGAAATAAGAGACAGTGCAATAATCCAAAATGCAAGATATCAGCAAGGGTTACGAAGACATTATGACAAAAGTACTCAACCCCGATCACTAAAGCCAGGGGACTCAGTATTATGACTAATCCAGAAGAAAGATGGACGACACAAACTACTCAGTCCATGGAAAGGACCCTTCATCGTGAAGACAGCAACAGGACCCGGCACATACGAGTTGATGACTCTAGATGAAATACCTGTGAAGAATACTTGGCATATCAGCCAACTCAAAAGATTCTACAATTAGTACAACATATTGTACTCAAGCTTCAAGAGAAATAAAGCAGAAATTCTTCAAGAAGAACGACTTTAGATATAAGCCCTGTCCAACAGGACAGAACCAACCCGTAATCAGGTTGGAGAAAAAGGGGCTTCCCTGTTAACAGCCAACCCAGAAACGGTTGCGCTACATGGGTAATTTTGTCACTCAACCATATGGAGATGGCTTGACTGACGGCCAACGGCCAAATAGCTTCTTGGGTAAGGAGACCCAAGCTAGCATTTGTCACTCTACCATAAAAGAGATGGTACGACTAACAGCCATGTCCAACGGACTGAACCAACCCGTAATCAGGTTGGGGAAAAAGGGGCAGCCTTGCAACAGCTCAACCCGAAAACAGTTGTTGCTAAACGGGCGCAATCGCTTACCCTAAGAGCTAGTACGATTGCTTACTTACCCTACAAACAGCCAAACCAGAAATGGTTGTGCTATACGGGTCCGATCGCTTACCCCAAGAGCTGGTACGATCATTTACTTCGCCCAACAAGCGGCACAATCAACAAAGAAAACTTGGTCGCCTACCCTAAGAGCGGTACAATCGACTACACCCCAAGAGTGGCGCAATCAAAACTACAACATGGTCGCCTACCCCAAGAGCGGTACGACCGACTACTTCGCCCCAAGAGCGGCACAATCAACAGATACAACTCGGTTGTCTACCCTAAGAGCGGTACGATCGACTACTTCGCCCCAAGAGTGGCACAACCAAGATTTCAACTCGGTCGCCTACCCTAAAAGCGGCACAACCAAGATTTCAACTTGGTCGCCTACCCCAAGAGCGGTACGATCAACTACTTCGTCCCAAGAGCGGCAAGAACAAGACTACGACTCGGTCGCCTACCCCAAAAACAGTATGGCTGACTTCTTCGCCCAAAGAGTGGCAGAAACAATACTCCAAAAGCAGTATAGCTGATTTCCTCGCCCAAAGAGCAGCAGTAATTCTACAAGTCGATTATCTACTTCAAAAGCAGTATGGCTGATTTCTTCACCCCAAAGAGCGGCACAAGCAATTCTATAACTCAGCTACATACTCCAAGAGCAGCATAGCTGATTAAATCACCCAGCAAGTGGCGTTTACGAGTCTACAACTCGCTAGATATTCCAAGAACAGCATGACCAACTGCCTCGGCCCAAGAGCAGCCGAAACAAATCTATGATCCGGCAAGTATGGCCTACCAATTTGCCCCAAAAGCGGCAGGAAACAACCCTACAAGGATGGCTATCTACTCAAGAAAGCAGAAAGCTACATCTGCACCATGAGATTAGGAAAAACACGCTCCTGAGAGCTACTTTACTCAGATAAGTCAAGAAACAACCTGGTTTGATTAAAAAAGAACCCCGATGAGGTACGGCAAGAACCAAGACAAGCTTAGAAAGAACCCATATTGATTAAAAAAGAACCCCGATAAGGTGCGGTAAGAACCAAGACAAGCTTAGAAAGAACCCGGATTGATCAGAAAAGAACCCCAACAAGGAGAGACAGAGATCAAGTCAAGATCAGAAAGAACCCATATTGAAGAAAACAACCTGCATAAGTTGGGAAATGTAAATCAAGACAAAAAAGAACTGGAGTGATCGAGAAAACAACCCGGAATGAGATACATACAAGTTCGTAAAGAACTCCGGACAAAGTGCAAACAAACCTAGAAGAGGTACATCAAGAACCGAGAGAAGTCTAGAAAGCGACACCGGATGAATAAAAAACAACTCGAGAAGAACATCACGGATTAGTCAAACACTAAGCTCGGGGCTCGAAGATTCGCTTCAACTACGCCGAGGGCTCGGATTTAAAGACGAAGGACCAAGAATACAAGAACTCAAGACTACAACAAACGACAACACATCAAGATTTTTCATCCGATTTCTTTTGAAAGAAAAGAACGGAGAAGGCTCGGGGTCATGGGATACATAACCCTAGAAAATTTTGAAGACAAGAATCTAGACCCTCCAACTTTTGCAAGCAAAAGCAAGAGGTTCGGGGGCTACACTCAGTGAGTGCAATTTTTTATGAAAAATTACACCCACCGAAAAAGAACTCGGAGCAACCAAGAAGACTAAAGGGACCCTCTGGCTTCTTGTCCCAACAAGCAAGAGGCTCGGGGACTACACTCACTGAGTGCATGCACAGCAGTCATAACAAACCAACCAAAAGAAGACCATCTTAAGATTTCACTTCAAGAAGAACCCGGATCAAGTCTATAACTACTCGGCCCTTGAAGCTCAATCATGAAATGCTCGGGGGCTTGTCGATGGGGAACCCTATGGACCCCCCATAGACCGTACTATAGGGAAGTGGACCTTGATAACAAGGCCCATAACCCAATCGCCAAAAAGAACACGGAGCAAAGCAACGTGCAAGACCAAAACTCCAATTCGGACTATACAAGGAAAGACACCCGAAGCATAGCTTAGGACTCTGATCTTGTATCCGAGTAGAACACAAACAACTACTCTCAAAGACTGGACTATAAAGGGTGGTGAGGATATTCTTGTAAACAAATCGAACATACCCAATACTCAAAGCAATACGACGCAAACAGGATAACGCCGAACTGGACGTAAGGTTATTACTCGACCAAGTCGAGGGCCTGAACCAGTATAAATCGTGAGTCTCTTTGCATAACCGCCGAGTTCCATTATTCGCCGAAGCCCGAACAACTATCCCAAGTACCCCCGTGGCAGGCTATCGGTGGTAAAACATCGACACACACTAATGTATGTGACAACATAGTGATTTTGCCAAGCCAAACGACTCTAGTGTGCCAATTTGAGTCGACTAGGCGTTTAAGGCATGTGGCAAGGAGCCGTGAATCCAAGGCACTAATCGACGGAGAAGAGGGAGGGAAGACTTGAGTCGAAGCAGAGGAGGCTCAAATCGACGAAGGGAGGGGTTAATCGACGAAGAAGAAGTGGAGCGGCTACGCCGCCAAGAACAGATGTGCGCCCTCCGTTCCCCTGCTTCGTTAATTTGCGCACGGGAGATGGGATAGGGACTTGTGGAAGCTGTAGGCCCGCGATTTCCCGCCAGCACGCAACTTCCAGCGGTCTCCTTCACGCGTAAATCTCCCGTGCATCGTTTTCTTTCGTGCGCACAACTCCTACGGTCGCTCTCGCCCCCCCAATCCCCTCCAATTCGCTCGTGTGTCAGGCCGCTCGGGCTTAAACGTCGCCAAATCGTGCCTTAGGCGATGACTATTACCGTAAGGCGGACGCCATAAGCCTTGAGGTCATGGGAGGCCGACGCCTAGTTTGAAATCGCGATCGCGACTGGACGACTTAAAAAGCATGAGCGTGGTGCACATATACCTTGGTATAGTGATTTATTATTTTTCTTAAAAATACGTATTAGTTACAATTTTATTAATTAATTTAAAAGAATTATAATCCTCCCCACAACGAAATCACCTCTTTCTTAACGTAGATCCCCATCTTCTCACGAGTACGCCTATCTCCCTACCATCCAGACCAAACCACCCTCCCCACGCCACCATGGCCTCCGCCGAAATCCCCAACTCCAGCCCCGACGCCACGAACCCCGCCGCCGCCACCGGCCCCGACCTCTCCTCTTCGCCGCCGCTCCCGCCCCGCAAGCGCCGCCTTTCACCTTCCGCATCCCCCACGCGCTCCGCGTCACGCTCTCGGTCCCCCCGCTCCCGCTCCCCGCGCGGCCGCCGCTCCCGCTCCCGCTCCCGCTCCCGCAGCCGGAGCCGGAGCCGGAGCCGCAGCCCGCAGAACCCGCCCGATGGCAAGCGGCGGCGGCACAACGACCTTAACGTGGAGGCGTGCCGCGACTTCCTGCGCGACAGGTGCACCCGCTCCGACCTCGAGTGCAGATACGCGCACCCTCACAACTCCGTTTCCGTCGACCGGTGCGTGCGCGCGAGATCCCGTCTCCTCTTGCGCTTGTAGTAACAGGGTTTTCGTTCTAATTTTGGTTTTGTTTGCTGCCCGTGGGATTTGGTCAGGGACAATAAGGTGACGGCGTGCGCGGATTCTCTGAGGAACAATTGCTTCCGGGGGAGGACATGCCGTTACTACCATCCGCCTCCACATATCCAGGAGTATGAGCTGATTTCTCCATTCTTGGTTGTTCGATTCGTTTGGTTTTGTTTGCTGGTTAATGGTTATGCTTCGGTTGTGGAAATCCAGTACTCTATCTCGTTTCATGTTTATAGAAGGTTAGAAGCACGAGTGGCAGATACTTTAACTGTGAGCCCATGAAGGCTGCAGAGTATAACATATAAATTTTAATTATCAGCTTCACAATGCCCTTTTTACCTTGCGCTAACAGCTGATGCAAACTGCAAATGGCTAACAGCATTTTCCTTTTGCAAGGAAATTACAACATGTACAACATTGCTTTGTGAGAAAAGCTACTTATGACTCAAACACATGGCCTATCGGTTGTTTTAATTCCCTGTCACAGTGTAGGAATCTAACTCCTCTCTATTTCTGCATAGCACGTACCATTGAATCCCATGAGCTCCCTGACTTGGAAAATTCGCTGTTAGCCCTCCCACTCTCCTCTTTAAAAAAAAGGTTACTCCATAAGTACAGCAGCATACCCCATAACCACCTTTTCTGTTGTTTTGGGAAGCCTGCAGAGTGTGTTTCTGCTTGACTCTGATCGAAGACAGTCTTAAAACTTGACTTGGATGAACTTGTAGAGTGACATGCAAACTGCAATTATCCTGTGAGAGCACAAGAAGATTTTTAGCTGCACTTCTGATTTCACTGCTTTTATTTGCTTCTTTGTTTTAGGCAATTGCTGAGATCAATTGGTGTGGAAGACCCAAAGGTGAAGACGGTAAGTTTGTTATATTTTTATTGGATAATAACATGGATCTGACTGTCCTTTTCTGAAAGTTTAAAATTCCTTTCTATTTAGTGCCATCTGCTGACTAAGAGTAGAATTGATGCCTACTCCCTCCATCCCTTAAAAAAGTTCGTTTTGGACATGATTTAAGATACCAAGCAGTAATTAATTAGAGTCTATTTTCCCCTGTTTGTCCTTATTAAATGGACTGCTGGGCATCCATTCAACGAATAACTCTCTGTGTCTGACTGGTTACTGAGGTGCACTCTACGGCTAGCGGTGCGGGTTCGATCCCACGCTTGCTTCTTTTTGTTGCATGGACAATGGACTGCTTACTTTTTTTTTCTTTTTTGCGTTTTTTTGCATGGAGTATTTTTGTAGCAAGGACTGCTTTCTTTTTCTTTTTTGGTTTTTTTTTTTTGCATGCGCGCCGTGCTCGTACGTAGACATGCAAGTTGCATGCAGCGCTCGCCTGCACCTATTTTTTGCCCGCATACGATAGACTTGCAAGTTGAGCTCGCCCACGCCTATTTTTGCATTTCGCTCGGCTGCGTACAGTGCGCGTACTCGTATTTTTGCAGGCGCGCGTACTTGTATTTTTACTCGCGCAGCGTGTTGGCGCGCGTATGTACTTGTATTTTTGCTTGCGTGGCATGTTGGCGCGTTCGAGGATAGCAAGCGATGGGATTTGGAAACGAAGAGGCTGACTCCTTGCTGCGTTAATGACTCGCGTTAATGACTTGTTGGAAACGAAGAGGCCGCGCCACCGCAGGGGCAAAGTCGTCTCAAGTCACTGTGGACCACCCAAAACGAATTCCTTTGTGAAAAATGTCAAAAGCTCCAGAACGAACTGTTTTAAGATATGGAGGGAATATGTGCTTAAAATGATAACACAAATTATATATCAGGGTTTATACATTTTGTTTTGCCCTATCCTTTTGTTGAAATTCGTGGAAGAGGTGGTGTCAACAATGGTGAACCTATCTTGTAGAACAATGTCTAAAGGCCTGCTTAAATTAGATGCCATTGTAGCAGCTATGCTGATTTATCTATCTTATAACAGTAATCTGGTCTGCATATAACATTTTGGATTGCCAACTTACCAATTTTTTTTATGAAACTTCAACAGATCTGCAGAGATTTTACACGTGGGAAGTGTTCAAGATCAGCAAATGAGTGCCGATTCTTGCACCATTCATCTGTTGAAGATGTTGCAATTGTAAGTGTACCTCATTGAAATTTGTGTATTATTATTATTGCTATAAATTGCCTATCAAAATACAACTGAGAACAGTTTTCTCTGTACTTAGAGCAAGAACATCCGTCTATTTCTAACTGATTCCCACATTTGGCACTTCCTAACTCTTAAAAGGTATTTTGGCTGATTTAGTTTTTTTTCTACTTTGTTTCTGTGACAGGTTTGCCAAGATTTCTTGCGTGGACAGTGCAATCGCATAGCATGTAGGTACTCTCATGTAGTAGCACATCCAGTGCCACCAATGAGCCATGTTCCTATGCCATACCCTGAGATGGTATGTACTTCTGCTGAATACATTCCCACATGTTACACTGTTACTTTTTATGGAAAGAGTTTTTTTTATCTATTCTTCATATTTTTAATAACAGTGATCTTTGGAGAACTGAGAAGCTTACCCTTCTTTTGCCTGTATTTTTTAGTGGAGAGTGTTCATCTTTGCATTATGTATTATTAATATAAATGTAAGATGATTTATCATGAGTAACATACTGTGTATCCCTTTTTATGCATTATTCCGAAGCTTTACATGCCACCACCACCACCACCACCCCTTGGAGTACCAATGATGGGGCCTCTGCCTTCACCTCCTATACCATTTGCTGGTACATAACGTGCAATGATCAGTTTCCCCCCTTGTACTATTATTGTTGCTTTTGAAATTTAATGAACTTCCCTGAAAAACATACTCCTCTGAAAACACAGATAATAAGAACAGAGTTGAAGTTTGTAGGGACTTCTTGAAGAACATGTGCAATAGGGAATCCTGCCGGTTTGCACACCCCGAGACACATACAACGGTTAGTATTTGTGCCTCTTCTTTTGCCTTTTTCTGCTAGTATGCAAGCTACTAATTTGCAAGTTTCATTTTCTGTATCTAATTGACCAGGCGGCGATCGCCAATGTTGAAGTATGCCGTGATTTTAAACGAGGAGAATGCAATCGACCTGCCTGTCGCTACTTCCATCCATATACAAGCTAAAGTTTTATGTTAGCTAAAGTAAAGTAAATTATACCTTGTTTTCCCCCTTTTTTAATACAAAATTTCAAATGACTGCAAATACATATAGATGAATTAATGCTCCCCTAGGAACACCTAGGTACAGAGTTAACTTTAACCTCAATTCCTTGTAGATCAATTTTGTCCATTCAAACCAGCTAGAGCAATATAGAGTTTATTAGGGTTGGCAATTTTTGTCATTTGGGTAAATTAACATTTTTTCAATGAAACGCAACTTTTTATCCGACCTGAACAGGCACTGTTCAAGTGATCTACTGTTTGGTCAGCTTCATTGTCTTTTATTCCGCATCAATTCTTTTCCTTCTGGGAAAGCTCTTCTGCTAAGTTTGTCAACAATGGCAGATGACCTCTTATATCAGTCCACTGTTTTAGAATGTATTATTACTAGTTTATGCTGTTGGGCTGTTGATAAAATTAGATGGTCTGATCTTCTCCTGCATATTTCTCTCCCATGGTCCCACCAACTAATTTCCTCAGTTTAGTTAATAAACTAATGACTCATTAAATGTGAAGAGTATCTTTCAAGCGGCACTACTATTTATTTTGATAACCAGGTCATCTGACATGTCTCATGCATAACTGTTGGGGCTTATAGGGTCTAAGAATAAAAATAGCTGTCGCTATATGATTTTCCATTGAGAATTCATCAGTGTCAAAATCTAGATTCTGTTTTTTCCCCTTTATTACTGAACCAGAACCTGCAGGCAAGTCCCCACATTTAGTTTTCAGTCTTATTTACAGTGCTTGTTAGCTGTCTTTAACAGATGGGTACTGCTTGTTTCCTCAGCTTGAGTGCTCTGCCCAGCGCCGCTGCTACCGCTGTGCTGCTGCTGCTGCCGCTGCCAATTCTGCTTCTGCCACCAAAGAGCTGCTGCGCTGGCTGTTGCGTCGCTAAGGTGCCATAGAGCATGGAAGCCGTAGAAGTTGCTATGTATGCATGGAATAAAATATACTATCATCCTGTGATATTCAGATGGTTGCTTGAACTTGCTTGACTCAATGGTTGAATAGTACCCCTTCACTACGAGGGCTGTGTGTGTGGCTATGTATTTGTTGTCTTAAAGATAATTATGACGTGAGCTCATTTGGTGCCTGCACTTTTAATCGGTGGACAAAATATTGACCATGTGTTTCATGACGGCCTGCATCTGGTTCAAACAGGCACCGCCAGAGGATGGCGGTCTACAGGTAAGCGATTTTAAACATGAGCTCTGTGGACACAAATTCAGACATGCAACGGTTTTATGGGTAGCCTGCTTGAATTGAAGCGTAGCTGCACCACCTAATCTTTGCCGATTTCAGCAAATTCTGGGAAATCCTATGCTTGCACTTGTAATAACTAGATGAACATGATGTTTTTCTGTGACTGAGCTTCGCTTGCAGCTACTGGATTTGAATCATGGTTATGAGATTGTGCTGTAGTAATATTGCGGCGCCAACTTTTTGCTCCTTGTAACCACTGGCTGCAGTAGATTTGGTGCCGCTCCTTTTTATCTGACGACACTAGCTAGCGTCAGAGGAGAAAGCAAGAACAGTCAGGGCGAGCTTTGGATAAAAAGGTGACGCGACAGCGCGAGCCAGAGAAAGGCGGATTCATCTGCAATGTCACTCACTCCGGCGTCGACGACGCCTCGCCGAGCACGAGCAGGGAAATGACATGGGTAAGTAACATGACGGCCGGATCGATGTACTCACTGCCACCACTTTTTTGTTTAGATTTATCTCTCTTGCAAGTTTGATAGGTTTACATTTATTTACATTATATTTCGCCTCCCATTATTTTGTTGATTAAGATATGTCATGAGTGTAAGCTGCTGAGGTCTATCTTATCATCTATCGCGACCGAAGCTGTTTCTCTGCTTGCATTGGCAAGGCAAAGCCGCGGTTTGAGCTGATCAGCAAACGTAACGATGCCAATCCTATTTTGAAAAGCCAAGGACAGCGGTTTGAGCTCCTAGTAATAGCACGCCTGTTTCTACAGGGCTTTCCGCTTTCTGTAGCGACACCTGCCTGGATATTTATTTACTTGTATATATGGTCTCAAGGCCTGCTACCGTTTGGAGGGTCAAGTCTTTGCAAGGCACGGGCATTTGACTTGCTCTGTCTCTGTCTCTCAGCAAAGAGCAGGAAGGATAAGCTTGGAATGCCTTGGCAGTGAGTGAGAGGTGCAACACAGCAACCGGCGTCCATGGTGGAGAGGGAAAGAGACGAGGGAGAAGCAGCCAGGGCCCTGACCAGCGGGCCACTGCAGCAGCAGGAAGGAGCAGCGGAGGGCGAGAGCGACGAGAAAGCAGGAGACGAGCGGGAGGAGGAGGAGGACGACGACGACGACGATCGAGACGAAGAAGGCACGGAGTGGTCGGAGATACGGCTCGCCATCGATGAGCTGTCCCCGCCGGCCCGTCTCAAGCACGGCGACGGCGATGGCAAGGCGGCCGCGTCGTCGCTGCCCACGCTGCGCTTCCTGGCGCTGTCGCACCTCCTCGTTCGCGTGCTCGGTGAGTAGCAACCATCAGCTGCCACGCCATGCGTCTGTTCTTCATCTTGCCCTGAAAGCTCCTCTACTTGTTGATCCTTCTGTTCTGTATATAGCCACTCACCTGCAGTATCATGCTTGTGCCTCGTGGCGGGTTGCTTCTGAATTCTGATGTGTTTTTCTCTCTCACTGTTGTGTTGAATGGCGATTTGGCCATGGCGTGGTGCGTGGTGTTGCTGTGTGCAGATAAGATCGGGCCGACCATGGCCGTGCTGAGGCTCGACGTCCAACGGAACATCGAGGTGAGTAAACAAGACCTCCTCTCTTTCTCGTCTCCCGGATCAGCCTGTTCGCTTGCTTCGTAAACGATCGTAAATTTTCAGCCGGAAACGGTGTTTTTTCTCACCCAAACCAGCCAGCAGTAAATAATCCACGATACGATACGGTCTCTCAAACCGGCTACTAGGAGTGAGTAACAGACAGCCCATCATGGTTGCTGATACGGTAGATCATATACTATTAACGCTAGTAGTACTTGCTGCAAATACTACTACCTGCAACTGCAAGGCTGCAATTAGGCAGAGAGTGTCTGTCATCAGACGCCCCCCTAGCTTGCTTAAGCTACCTGCAAAAGGCTCGACTTGCTCTGCCTGATCATAGAAGACGAGAAAGCAAGTTTACCATAAAAGAAACAAGAAAAGGTTGCAAGGTTGGATCCAATTGCAACATGAAATCGCATCTCGAATCTGTTTGGTGTGGTCCATGCAGCCAGGGGGGACGGCGGGGTACGTCACTCATCCGCGTCTGCTTGCTCCTGTCCCGTGCCTACCACACGGCTACGCACCAATAGGACCTACCGGGTCCGTTTGGCCGCATAAATCGGGTCACGTCACGTCATGTCTGCCTATTTTTAGTCCCCGGCCGTAATTCACCATGTACAGTACTTACTAAAATAAATAAATACATGATTGGGACACGGTTTTTTCGAGTTCCTAGCTACAGGAGTTATACTTTGGGGATTCAATGAACTACCGGAAGAAACCAGCTCGGATCTGTTGATTCGTCGCACCATTTCCCCACCTTTCTATCATCTCAAAGCGTGCGAGATCGAATCGCTGCAGCTCCATGATTCAAGCATGTCAGAGATGAAGCACATAGCAGTGTGCACACGGACACGGCTGCACCTGGACTGATGGAGAGCAGTATTATCCATGGACAGGGAGCAGTGTGCGTGCGTGAACGGGTCTCTTTCTGACGCCTCAAAATTCTTGGACTCACAGACAACGATGGCTTTCAAGGGAAGAGGGCGGCGTCAGACAAATAAAGTCCGCAGGATAGGAGAGGAGAGGATTATCAGCGTAAAATCTCTGCACCACTGAGCGAGGCTATGATAATGGACAAATTGCTTTGCTTTCGCGGTAGGAGTACGCCGGAGGCGGAGCGCGACGCCGACGCCACGGCCTGGGCCCGTTACGTGTGCCGCGCACAGGCCTTCTCCAACTTCTCCGGTCACATCCATCCGCCCACTGGCCGGCCTGGCCGCCTGGGGCGATTTTTGGCCGGCGGTTCGTGTCCCGTCCCTTTCGCGATGATGTCTCTCTGTCTTCTTTACGAGAAGCTGACGCTTTTGTCATCTTTTTTTTTTCCATCCAAAGATAAAGATGAGGAGGAGGGTGTAGTAGAGTATAGAGGTAAAAAATCTTCTACTCCTAGACTTAAGGTGTAAGCAAAGGACGTAGTGATGGTGATGGAGATTGCCAATGCAAGTGGGCTAAGGATTGTCTTGTTTGGCATGAAAGATGAGAGCTATATATGCTGGGGCAGGCCTGTCCATGGAACTTCTATTATTGGCTACTGCATACAAAGTATCAACAAATGTAGATCGAGTGCCATAATCCGTTTCTTGTTGTATACACTTGCAGTTCAAATTAATAGGTGGTTATCCTGATCCACACACACATGCATGGTGATGGCCGAGGATATTCACTATTGTATTGCCCCATGTATAGCTTATCTTTCGAAATGTTCTGTTGCTTTCGAAATGTTCTGTTGCTTCAGAGGCTCCAGTATCACTACGCGCGCGCGCACACACTGCATTTGCTAGGGATTGAGAGAGAGAGAGAAAAAAACTGAACAGTGGATGGTGCCTGTTGCAGAGGCTGCAGGAGCTGTACCTGTTGGACCCAGCCAAGTACTCGACCCTAACAGGGATATTGGAGAAGGAAGTCAAGGAGGGCACTGCAAGGAAGGTCGATAGCTGTGCAAGGGCTGTCCTGTGGCTTGCTAGGTACAACAAAACAACCACTCTTCATTCTTAGTTCGTGCCGTCAAGCTAGCTAGTTGTAAATACGCCTCTTCGTTCTCACTTGTAATGCATCTTCTTCTTTTTTCCTTCTAACATTGCCAGATCCATGGACTTCACGATTGCGCTGTTACAGAGCTTAGAGGAGGACTCTGAGCAGCAGCAGAGCCTTGCGCAGCTTGTCGAGGCTGCGTACGAGGTCAGCCTGAAGCCGTGGCATGGCTGGATCTCTTCGGCGGCGTGCAAGGTCGGGGATCTATCACTGAATCATTTGGATGGTGCTGTACTGTACTGTACTCTACCACCAGTGCGAAAATAAATATATGCCGACGCTTCTCGTCTTCTGCCTGACTGAAGTTAATTGGATTAGTTGGCGCAATTCTGACTAATCTCTGGTAAATTATTGATCGATTCGACTACATTTGCAGATAGCGCTGAAGCTCATCCCTGAGAGGAAGGTCTTCACCAGCCTGCTGCTGGGGATGGGCCAAGACTGCTCTGCTCTCAAGGATGAGATCGAGAGGCTCGCGTTGCTGCTTCGGCCCCTCCTTGATGACATCCACTCCATGATGGTTAGCACTACTGCTCCTCCTGATTTCATTTCTCTCTATCTAGCGCTGAATCTGATTCTTGGATCACTGCATAGCATAGTACTACCGTACTAACATAACAACATCATTCCCTCAGAAAAAAAAAACATAACAACATCACCATCTCTGATCTGATGCCGTGTTTCGCAGGCCAGGTTCAGACTAGACAGGCTCAAGTCGACGTGATCGATCCATGGCGAGCCCAAGCCATGGATCCCGTGCTCCGCTCTGTGAATATTGCTCTTGTTTAATTTGTCGGTGCTGTAGCCTGTACGAGGTTCCAGCACATCTTGGAGTTGCATTGCTGCTGGTCTAGTTAGACGCTGCTCTGTAGTCTGTACATAGGTCTTGCTTGTAGGGTATTAGGTTAGTCTCAAGTGGGGGCTTCATTTCCTATATTTTGGAAACAGTGCAGGAAAAGTTTTATCCCCATGAAACTCTCTCTACTTTCATGAAACTTTCGTCATCTTTCTCTTCATCAATATGGTGCCACGTCAGCATATTTAGGCCCCGTTCGCTTGTCTTAAATTTGGCTTGTTCGGCTTGTTTTTTTAGCCGGAACAGTGTTTTTCTCTCACAACAATTCAGCCGGAACAGTGTTTTTCAGCTAGTTTCAGCCAAAGTTTAGACCAGCGAAATGTCCATGAAAATCTGATGAAACTCCATTGAGACTGCCTAGACAGTAAGATCTGCATGCGGTGCCCTTTTTTTTGGGTACAAATTTATGCCTCGTCCCTTGTCTGGATCGCTTCTCCAGCTCTCAATGGATGTGGCTTGCAGTTACAGGGAGACCCAGGAATCGGTTTCAGGACGATCACGTCCCTCGGCAGAATCCGGGACGCGTCAGGTGTGCATTGGCGCGCCGCCGGTGCCGCACGGCGTGTCGGCAGGACGGCAGTTCTGGCCTGGCCTGCAGACGTGAGGAGAGACTGCAACTGAGTGCGGCCACAACTAAGGCGAACAAATTCAATCCGCGAAATCTTACGGAAGGTTTCGTTCAAATAAAAAATCTTAACGAAGCAAGCGTTCTGTTTCTTCAGCCAGCTGGAGCTTCTTGGAGCCCTGTGACAAAGACGACCTAAATTTGCACCCCCGATGAACTTGAGGATTCGAAATCTTCTAAACCCAGGCACGTGCAGTGACCGACCATCGACCGCTCTGCTCCCATGAACTTTCTGGTGACCCCAATGGTTTTCCAGCGTGGTTACCGTGTACGTAGGTTTAGTTCACGACAAAATGCTTGAATTTCCTAACATGTCATTCAAATCTTCATTTCCCTTAGAGTGTCAATGCATGTCATTGGTTTAAAATTTTCTCCCTTCACCATTTAGATTGATGTGAAGTGACAGCCCACAGGCTGTTTCTCATTTGAGCATTCGGAGCACCAGAATTCCGGATGAAACGAAGTTTTGCGTGTTGTTTGATTTTTAAGAAAACAGAAGGGAAAGTCTCCACGTTGCCATTGCTCTGCCCCTAAACCGAATTTGTTATTAAGAAAATTCGAATTGCAAGTTTGTCACTTAAGGGCACGTTTGGATCCATTAGCACTAAACTAGCTACTCCCTCGGTCCCAAAAAAAGTGATGTTATGACATTTTTAGTGGAGAAGAAAAATGTCCCTGATATCCTATAAAGAAGTGATGTCGCGTGGTTTACTTCCTAATTAAGACACGTTGCATGCAAGCATGCAGAGATCCAAGGCAGGCAAAAAAACAGTAGCGCATCTCAAGTAGTAATTTGGCGCTGGATCTGTGGGCCAACCCCGTGTCTAAAACTCAAAATATTTTTTTTTCTAGGAAAAATTTAAATCATAGAACATCACTTTTTGGGGGACGGATGGAGTAATTTTTAGCATGGGTCTGTTTGGATCCACATGCTAATAGTGGTTGGATAGTGAGTTGAAGATGCATATGAACTATTATCATCTATTAGCAACTCCAATCCTACAAATGAAACTAATAGTTAGCAACCCTCCACCTAATAATTAGCAGGTCTATTTGGATCCACAAGTACTAATTTTAGCTGCTAATTTTTAGTGCTATTAGATTCAAATAGGCCCTTAACCTTCCAACAATGCATCTACCAGTGCTTTAGTTCGTTGAGCAGCAAGCTTCTACTCCCTCCGATACAAATTATAAGTTATTTTATTTTTTTTAGAGTCAAAGCATATCAAGTTTGACTAAAATTATAGAGAAAATTATAAAGATTTATGACATAAATTAAGCTAAATTGCACAAGTTTCTACATAATCCTTTTTTTATATAAATTGCGCTAAAAGACAGTCACATAAATTGCCATAGTGCCACATACTTATCAATAGTCTGTGATGACTTTGGTAATCTTCTCAATGTATAGCTGCTGGTTCAATCTTTCGAAAAAAAACTTATAGAGGGTCGTGTGTGCGTACATGTGTCTACGTGTGTATTTTCCCAGAACATGTAAATGACAAATCCCACCTGCGGATGGAAAGGGGTGAATTTTCCCATGCAGTGATGTACAGCCTGTTCGACAGCATGTAACTGTCTGTATCTGGCTCAACCAATAGTATTTTCCTCTCACACTAAACCAGTCAGCAGTACTTTCAGCCGATAGCTTATAAGCCAATCCAGACGAAACGAACAGACTGGTAATTTAACAGAAGCGTGTCAGTTAGTACTAGGTGTCAGATATCAATTTTGGTGGGCGATGCAGGTGGTGTTCACGAGAGCGTTCAGATAGTAATAATAAAATAAATTATAGAAGTCCTTAGTAATCCGCGAGACGAATTTATTAAGACTAATTAATCTATCATTAGAACATGCTACTGTAGCTTTACTGTAACACTATATTGTCGAATTATGGACTAATTATGTTTAAAAAATTCGTCTCGTAAATTAGTCGTAATATGTACGATTAGTTATTTTTTAGTCTATATTGTCGGAATCATCAGTTTTTTTTCCTCGCAAAAGAAATGTTGGGTGCTGGTGGTAGCTGATCGTTGTTGGGTTGCGCGTGGTGTGGTGGGGCCGGTGCGGTGCGGCAGACCGTACTAACGGTATTTTTGCAAGCAGTAGAAAAGTTGGAGGAAGCCAAATGCCAACGGATTTTCATGGAAGCTCACAGAGTCAGTCGGGGGCTCCGAGGTCGTGCGCATGCACCGTACAGCTCCTGACCACACTCCGGTCGGAGTCAACGGCGCCGGCCACGCGCTCGCGGCGGTGCTGGCTGCTAGCCAGCCGGCCGACGCGAGCTGGGACCAGATGATGCCGTTCAGATGGCTACCGAACCGTGTTGACGAGTACTCAATCTGACTAAGGCCGCGTTTAGTTCAGCGCAGAATCGGCGCCGCCGGAATTCTCTGGCACTGTTCCGGTACTGTAGCATTTCGTTTGTATTTGGTAATAATTGTTCAATCGTTGACTAATTAGGCTTAAAACATTCGTCTCGCAAAGTACAACTAAACTGTGCAATTAGTTTTTGATTTCGTCAACATTTAGTACTCCATGCATGTACCGCAAATTTGATGTGACAGGGAATCTTCTTTTTGCATAGTGCTAAAATTTAAATTCTGGGGTAACTAAACAAGGCCTAATACGAATGTACCTGCCAGGATGTTGTGTGGTATGTATAGCTTAATAATTTTCAGATCAGTTCAGAGGCCCTTGCCCGGGTTTTATATTGAAATTTGGAAGCAAATACTAATCTCGGGATGACAAACGCAAACGCTCCCTTCGTCCTGCTGCTACCAAAGATGTCATCTAATGCGTGTCTGACTTGACAAATAATTTGCTGGTTAGGTGGTTAATTAATTTGGGGGTACGGTTCTTGCGAGAGGGGTAGTAGTACGCACGATGCATGCCGACTGGCCCTCTTCTCTCGAAAAGACGCGGAAATTACATCGCAACACACCTCTTATTCTTTTGTTTTTAGCTTTTCCTATACTCCATGTGCTTAAAATTTAAGATGATTTCAGGCAACACTCTTGTATCTCTAAGTACAAGTAAATTGTTACTTTTGTGATTTGTTATTTATCTTTGTGTCATAACATATCAAATTTTATCCTGGTCTTCCTATAGAAAATAATTGTAAATTGTTAATTGTCTTTGTGCCAATACAAATCATATTTTGTCGGGTTTGTGGTTTTGTATAACGGGTTTTTTTATTCTCGATTCCAAAAATTACAGATTACGTTTATAGAAATGCAACAAACGAAATCTATAATTTTAGTATAAAATATATGGAATAACTGTCACTAGCAATTTGTTTTTTAGCACATGAATTTTAGTAAATCCCTTTGTTTTTTACCTCTCTTTGTCGTCAAACAAACAATTTGTACTCTCGTATATCTATCATCAAATCAGAAGAAGAAGAAGAAGAAGGAAGAAGAAGAAAACAACTTATACGAAATCAGCTCATCTCTCTCGAAAGGAAGACTTCTCTAAACCAGTTGACCTATATCCACAGCCATACACAAGGCCGATCGACAACCTCTTCCAATATAATATACACACACATTCATATATATCATCTCCAGACTCCATCTCATCCTCCTCCGCGTGTTTAGTTTTGATCAAAGCGTACACAGTACCATCAAGCAGGCAAGAGACCAGCCAAATTATCATTACCTACCCACGTTTACGTACGGAACCACAAACTAAACTACCTGGAGTACGTAGTACGGACGTAGCCAACCAACCATTCAACTGCATCCAAAAGTGTGTGATCATCTCCAGGCCATCAGCTGCTTACGTGGTACGTGATCGTGACAAAAAATGGCTGCCACGGCGGCGGCGGCGGCGGCGGCGGCGGAGTTGTTCGAGGTCCTGGACAAGGACGGCGACGGCAAGGTGTCGGCGTCGGAGCTGCGCGGCTGCGCGGCGGCGGCGCTGGACGAGGAGGAGGCCGCGGCCGTGCTCGCGGCGGCGGACGCCGACGGCGACGGCCTGCTGGACCGCGACGAGTTCCTCGGGCTGGTCCGCGAGGCTGCTGCTGCGGGCCAGGCCGGCGACGCGGACGGCAGCAGGCGGCGGTGCCTCAGGGTGGCGTTCGGGATGTTCGCGGACGCAGACGGCGCCACGGCGGCGGCGGGCCAGGAGCAGTGCATCACGCCGGCGAGCCTGCAGCGGATGCTCGGGCGCCTGGTGGGGGCGAATAAGCAGCGGCAGCTGGCATTGGACCTGGACGAGTGCAGGGCCATGATCTGCAGGT